TTGTTCTAAGAAGGAAAGGCAAGCAGTTGAAGGAGGTGTTTCATTATGAATTCTGTATTTGTTCTAAGAAGGAAAGGCAAGCAGTTGAAGGAGGTGTTTCATTATGAATTCTGTACTTGTTCTAAGAAGGAAAGGCAAGCAGTTGAAGGAGGAGCCCAAGGAGGTGTTTCATTGTGAATTATGTACTTGTTCTAAGAAGGAAAGGCAAGCAGTTGAAGGAGGAGCCCAAGGAGGTGTTTCATTATGAATTCTGTACTTGTTTGAAGGTCAACATAAGTATTCATCCCCCAAAACAACAAAATCATAAAGAATTGTCATTTATTTGCATTTATTTTCATGAAAGAAAGAAGGAAAAAAGCAAAAGAACAAGAAAATAGAGAAAAACAGACAGGAAAAGAGTGCACTTTTTGGAAAATGTAGCCAAAGTTGCAATTTTGAAATGATCATAAAATTTCAAGTATTTATGCCCCCAAAATTAAAAAAAACATTGAAAATATTTTTTGCTGGTCTGTTTTAGTACTAAATGCCATATTTTAGTGTTCAAATTCTGCAGTTAACATTTCTCAGAAATTGGTAATATATCAGGACATTTACCTCCCTGAGGTATGAATTATGTGTTAATATTATTAAGTCCTTAACTTGTTTACATGAACAGAACCCCTGTTTAATTACAACTAGCACTAGGTTGATAGCATAATTTACATAGTTGACATGGCTCTTGTTAAGACCTTAAATCAGTTTTATTGGACACTAAATCACACGTATTTAGGGTGTGTTCCAGTAAACTTGGTCTATTTACAGACCATACATTTGCATGTTTCTTCATGCAAGTTAACAGTTTTAAAGCTTTTCCTTGTACTTGTCCATCATTTGAGGTTTCAATCTGCATTTACTGTACTAATAGAAAGTTCATCTGGAGACATCAGTACTGTGCTTTTAAATGTAACATCTCTAAATTACTATTGTTTTGTTAGTAATAAGCTTTGGTGAAATTAACCCATGTTTTGAATGTTTACTAATGTTAAACATCATGTATACTTACAAAAATTTCACCCCTGTTTAACAAGTAACATACTTTAGCATACACCTCAAGGAAAACTTGACCTAAATTTATGTTGTAGCCAAGCAGGTATTGGTTGGTATGGGTAATTACGTACATGTAGTGTACAGTGTTCAAGTTTCCCTGATACATTCGTGCAGTTTACTTTCAAATTTTTCCTTGTACAAGAACATTTATACAGGTGGTAATGTCCTTGGTCTACAAAACTATAACTTCAAGGCACCTCTTCAGAACATCTCTGCAGGTGGTAATGTCTAGAAAACAATAACCTGAAGGCATCTCTTCAGAACATCTCTGCAGGTGGTAATGCTAAGAAAACTATAACTTCTCACAGGGTTTCAGGTTACGTAAAAAAAAGGAATCTTGAAATATTTTAATGAAGCAGAATGACTTTAATCAAGGTTTGTTTATTCTTTTACATGTAATTTAAAGTGATTAACAGAATGGAACTTTATCTATAAATCAGGTATCTGTTATTTTTGGCATGTTTAGTATCTTTGTTCATCAATGGGTGTGGTTGATATATTACATATGTTTCTTTGCTTTCACTTATATGTTCTTAGAATTACTAATATGGTTTTCCTTGGCTCCAGGAACAAGAAGACTAGTTTGTTGGTTTACCAGCTCTTCTAAATGACAGTAAAATTAATTCAATTGAAAAAATATATAACTAACTGGAGTTAAAAAAGAAAGAAATACATGTATTGCATTATTAATTCCTACCGTACTCTTGAAGGTTTAAATAAAATTTGGAATAAATGTCACTTAGCTTTAATTATTTAGTAGGTGTATGTAGCTTTTGTTAGTCAGTGGGTATATGTAGCTTTTGTTAATTAGTGGGTGTATGTTGCTTGCATTAGTCAGTGGGTGTATGTAGCTTTTGTTAATTAGTGGGTGTATGTAGCTTTTGTTAGGTAGTGGATGTATTAGGTCGTCAAGAAATTAATGTAGATTTTTTAGAT